AATAAATAACAAACCTAGGACAGAGGCTGGGTTGTGGCTCAGTGGTAGAGTGCTTGCCTAGCATGTGTRAGGCACTGGGTTTGATCACCAGCACCACATAAAGATAAAACAAAATAAAGGTATCGTGACCATCTACAACTAAAAAAATATTTTTAAAAAACTCTAGGACACAACTGACATTGGCTTTTTTTTTTTTTTTTTTTTTGAGATGGGGTCTTGATGTGTTGCCCAGGCTGGCATGTCAAACTCTTGGCATCAAGTGATTCTCCAACTTAGCTCAAGAGCATTTTTACTAGGCTGCGGTATTATGCAAAGTACTCAGTAACCTGTACCTTTACTTACTTTATAGGCCAAATCCTTCTCCCACAACCTGTCACTTCCACCCCACTCCCATCCCACCCACACCAATACTGGGGGTTAAACCTAGGGGCACTCTATCACAAAGCTACATCTCAAGCCCATTTTATCTTATTTTGAGACATTGCCTAGGCTAGCCTCACACTTGCTCTCCTGCCTCAGCCTCCAGAATAGCTGGAATTATAGACATATGCCACTGTGCCCTGCAAGGTACTTTGAGAAACTTTTTTTTTTTTAAAGGACACAATACCTTTATTTATTTATTTTTATGTGGTGCTGAAGATCAAACCCAGTGCCTCACAAGCTAGTCAAGCACTCTCCCACTGACCTACAACCACAGCCCAGAAACCCCTATCTTTTATGAACCACGTGTCATCATGTAAGAAGACACAGCCTTAGACTATATTTCAGAACAAAAAATCTGCTTCTAGCACAAATTGAAGGAATATAGAAATAGAAATAATTGTTATCAAATGATGACAAAAACACCTCAATTGAAAATAGCCATTTCTAGCCCTTCCGAAGGTTTTAATTCATGTGATATTTTAGAAGATATAAAACATCTTTAATGAAATTAAAAATYGAATTTTAGCTAGGTGTGGTGATGCAGGCCTGTAATTCCAGTGGCTTAGGAGGCTGAGACAGGAGGATCACAAGTTCAAAGCCAGCCTCAGTAACAGCGAGGTGCTAAGCAACTCAGTGAGACCCTGTCTCTAAACAAAATACAAAATAGGGCTGGGGATGTGGCTCAATGACCAAGTGCCCCTGATTCAACCCCTGGTTCCCTCCTACCCCTGAAAAAGTCAAATTTTAATCACTAAAAATTCAACTACTTTAAACCAACAATGGAATATAAAGGAACAAAATATTGGTTATATCTTCTCACTTTCATTTTATAACAGGAAACCTTAAAGAATATTAAAAAAAAAGTCCAGCCATGAAGAAGTTCAGAAACCTAAAAAGCAGATGATCATATGTTGGCACACTGTTTAATAAAATAGTCCAATTTTATACAAGACTTGACTATAGAAATAGTAGTCAATAGTCAAAATTTTAAAGAACAGATTCATTCACATATGATCCTAAACTGAATCCTTAACTCTTACCAAAAAAAGCTCTTAATTTCTTGAAAGTTAAATCTGTATGAATGCAATTAGATGTTATAATAAAAACTACTTATAATCAAAAGGAGATAGATACAAATGAGAAATTAACTGATTTTAATAAATAAACAAATCAGCCAAATGCAAAACAACTTATTTCCAGGTACTACATATAATAACATATAATCTCAATTCTACATGAAACGCCAACAGTTGGCAAAGGTAACTTCTGGATTTACTAAGTATTCATGTCCACTAAGAATCATCAAATTATTAAAATCAATTATACTTCTTTGGGAGTATCCTGTCATTATGGTATCCTAATAACTAATCAATTTCATTCTTATTGATGGAATGACATCAAAGAATGGGACCAAATATAATGCATATTTTTATTTAGCTGTAGATGGAAACAATGCCTTTATTTTATTCCTTTATTTTTATGTGGTACTGAGGATCAAACTCAGTGCCTCGAACATGCTAGGCAAGTGCTCTACCACTGAGTTACAACTGCTGCCCCCATGTATGTCTTGATAAACAAATCTTATTTTTTAATAACATATATTCAATTAATTGCCATATACACAGTTCTCCAGAAGTTTATATTATAGAAAAAACAATAATTATTTTCTATTCAGCAACCCCTCGTACATTTTGGTCTTACACACTATTGTATCTCTTTAAAACCTCTCAAGAGCAGGGTGAGGTAGCATGCACTGTAATCCCAGCTGACAAAGGAGGATCACAAATTTGAGGCCAGTTTCAGCAATTTAGCAAGACCCTGTCTCAAAACAAAAAATAAAAAGAACTGGGGATGTAGCTCAGTGGTAATGTGCTCCWGGGTTCAATCACCAGTACCAAAAAAAACCCCTCTCAGAGGGTTGAGGATATAACTAAATGGTACAGCGCTTGCTTAGCATGCACAAGGCTTTGGGTTCAATTCCTGCAGTTGGGTGGGTGTGTATGTGAGCATACACACAGACAAAAAAAACCTTTCAGAGTTTCAATTTATTTTTGATAATATTCTTCAGTTTAGAAGCAATGTTTTGTTATTATAAAAGTCTCTAAACCAGTGGATTCTAAGATATTCCTCCATGTATAAGACATGAGATTATAACCAAATTAACGAATCAGAGATCAGAATGCCAAAAATTAAGTCATTAAAAGGGAATCCACAGAAAGAGCCAGTTGTGAAAGAACAGGAAGTGATGTATACTGCCATTTTGTACACGAACTATTTAGAAACATAAGAAGTGCCATACTAATCTGGAATCAACCCAGACTAAGAGCTCTCAGTATTCTCTTTCTGACAGTGACATCAGAGGTCATCTTCTGAAAAAACCCTCAGGCAGTTTTTCCTTAATAACAAATTTAGCTAATTGATCCTGAAGACACTTTTACCACTTTTAGGCAGAGTTCCTATCAGCTATGGAAAACAGTGTTTCTTTTTGTTACCCCCAAGAGTACCACTTAGTCCCGGTATGCTGAAATACAGCAAATACACACCCTGTGTATATTCTTAAATTTTATAGCTTTTATTGATAAAGCCTCTCTTCCTGCAATCTTTCTAAGATAAAGGAAGTCTCTAGTAAGCAGTATGGTTGGATATACACATGCTAGTATACATGAATTCATTATCAACAAACCATAGTCTACAGAAATAGGCCTTATGGCACAATTTGCCACATAGGAGAAAACTCCACACATCATAACATGAAATTTTGTATCATGAAATACAGATTCAAATGAATAGTGCTGCTTAAATCAAATCAATTGAAATGAACATCAAAAGGGAAGAAAGAAGGAAAAGAGCATTCTATTTTGTGAAGGGAAAAAAATGATAAAACTACATCAAAATCATGAAATAAGATAATGGAAACTATTAGCGCCCAGCACTATTGCTAACATCTTTATATCCCTGTATTCAAACAGATTTCAAAAAGCAACACACCAAGAAAGTTCTGGGTACATTTAATGATAACAAACACAAAAGTATTTTTTAAATAAATAATTCACTAAGTATAACTTAAACACCAACTATAACTTGTTTGTAAAATATCAAGACAGATCATATCTGTGATATTACATTTTAGTCATCTTCATCACTTTGGGAAAATTATTTAATTCTACTAATATTCACATGTGGAACATTTTGAAATCACTTCCCCAGGAAACCTAAACACTTAAGGGAAAAAATATTGACAGTACATCAAGATTCCTTCAGGACTTGAAGACTACTTTTTGGTCACAAAAAGCACGTGGCAATGTTAAAATTGTTTTTATTTATGTTTACCCAGACAAAACCAACAAGTACCAAACGAACTGAGATGACCTTTTTAAAAAAAATGATACAAAGCAAAAGTTAATCATAATTAGGCATATTAATATCAATTATCTTCATTTCTTTAAGAAACAGAGCATTTGCTACAGAAAGATTTCTAACCTAATGATTTTCAGAAAAATTCCAATTTTAATATTACACAAACCAGTATTAACCTTTAAAATCCACAGCCCAGGGACAAACGTCTATCAAAAGCCTGTCTGTATGTAATAATTGGTTTTTTAAAAATATTTTTTAGTTGTTGATGGACCTTTATTTTATTTATTTGTATATGTTGCTGGGAATCCAAGCAAGCGCGATACCGCTGAGCCACAGCCCCAACCCCTGTATAATTTTTAATAACTCTTCAAAACTTGCAAAAGCTATAGGAAGAAAAATAAGAGAATACAAAATTATTTTATTTGAATTCTAACGAAAACTCAACCTGCTCCAAAAAAAAAAAAAAAAAAAAAAAGCCCATCCAGAGACACATCAACTGTTCCAACTTGAGGGGTCCTCTTGAAAGGCCATACCCCCTAGCAATAACAACAGGAGCAGCTATACTTTCCATGGACAAATCTCAGGAGAAGAGTATTAACGGTACTGTTATCGATTTAAAAATCAAAGGAAGAAGAGTAACCTTTCCAAGGGAAGCGCCATTACTTCTCTCTCCTGCTCCCCCTCCCTTCAGTGTATACATGGGTCTGTGTATGAAGAAATTGCCTCGGACTTCTGCAGCATTGCAGTACACTAGACGATGAGGAAGGGGGAAGGGTAGGGGGAGAGAAACGCTTCCATCACCCCTAAAGAGAAGTATATATTTCTTGAGGGTTGAATCCACCCAGTAGGCTATTCAGAACAGTCTCCCTTCCCAAGAATACATAGACACTACAAAGGAGGAGGAGGAACGGGAGGAGCAGAGAGACCTGAGGGAAAGGGACTTCGCGCCTTTAAATCGGGGTGCACATCAATCCTGTCTCCCTACCAGGGCCACACCTTCCTCGAAACATCCCCTTCCACCACCCCTTCCGGTGACCCTCAGGAAAAAGGAATGTAATTGCTCCTACCCCTCATAACAGGAGGGCGCCCAGCTAACCAGCTTCTTCACCCCACCCACAGAATCACAGACCCTCCTTGTCTCCCTCCCCCACCCCACTCCCACATCCCTTCTTCCGTAGAGGCCTGAGTGGGCCGAATTTCCCCAGCAGAGGTGCCCTTACCCTTTAGCCGTCAGGTCTGGAGCGGAGTAGGCAAACGCAGCCCCCCGCAGCGCTCAGGTAGCTGCTAGCTGGAGGGCGAGGAGTGAGGAGGGGGCCTGGCGACCGACCGCCGCCCCCCACCCCGCGGAGCCCCAGCGAGCTGCCCAGCCCAAGCTCTGCGACAAGGGGCGGGGAGGGGGGCGGCGAGGGGACGACCAGAGTCGAGGAGGCGCCCTCAGCGCTGGGGCTCAGCTAAGATGGCGCGGGGAAGTGCCCGGAGCCGCCGCCGCCGCCGCCTCGGGGGAACCGGCCCGGGCCTCGGCCGCCTCCCGTTCTCACACAGCCGAGGCCCTCTTGGTCCCCCGCCGCGGCCCCTCGGCGGGCGGGCCCACGCGTGGCCCTCTGCCACCACCACCACCACCCCTGGGAAGGGGGCGCTCACAAAGAGAAGCGAGGCCGCGGGCCGGCCGGCGGGCGGCGGGGCGGGGTCCCCAGGGGCCGGGAGGCCTGAGAGGCTCGCGGGTGMTTAGCACTCTTGGCCCGCGAAGGGCGCAGGGCGAGCGGGACCCCTCCYCTTTTCTCAAGCAGGCAGTGGTACCGACTCACTCTCTTTGCCACCCTCCCTCTCTCCTTCAGAGCCCTGAAGCYACAGAGCCCGGCCGCTGCCCAGGTTCCCCCCCTTCCCCGACACCACTCCCCTCCTCCCGACAGTCATCCCAGTCTCCGATCTCGCGAGATTTCCCGCCTGACAGGCCCGACCCTGCGCAAGACACGACTGCGTACGTGCGCGCGCCCGTGAGGGCGCGTGTAAACCTTTTAATTGAGCCAAGTTCCCCCGGTGGCCTATACTGTGTCCAGCGCAACCTCACTCAGCTTTCTGAGCTTCTGTGCCACGCGGGTGACAGGTGTATTCACCCCCGGAAGTCTAAGAAGACTAACTTGTCTGCACTCCCCTTCTTCTCACCTCCAAATCATCAGCTCCTCCCACCAACCAATAGTGCTGGTGTGAAAGTTTGTCCTAAAGTGTAAAATATCCCATTCCTTAGATACCTTACCTCGACTCCTCCTTGGAATTCAGAGGTAACCTGAGCATCGTAATCAATATATAATTCAGTTTTCAGATTCTAATAGTTTATAGTAATTTTTGGAAAGGCAGTAAGACTTGGAAATATAATTTAAGCCACCCTATATATTGGTGATGGTAGGAAAGCTACTTAAAAAGAATTTGCAGGTTTGGTAGTTTGAGTGATGAGTAGTTTTTTGGAACAAGTGCAGCAAACCAAAGGATATACGGGGAGAGGTAGAACTCCTTTGGGAAGGGCCGTGCACAGTAGCGCACGCCTGTGATTCCGGCAGTTTGATAGGCTTAGGCAGTAGGATCACAAGTTTGAGGCCAACTTCTCAATAACTCAGCGAGACCCTGTCTCAAAATAAAAATAAAAACCGCTGGGGATGTGACTCAGTGGTTAAGCGCCCCAGGGTTCAGTCCCAGGTACAGAAAAAAAAAAAAAAAAAAA